ATATATGTATATATAGATACACACACTTATGGCTTGTAATGTGAAATATTATTACAATTTAAAATAACTGTTTGTAAATGTAAATATATATTGTAAATTGTAATTTATTTCTGCGATCAAAGCTGAATTTTCAGCATCATTACTCCAGTATAAAGTGTCACATGATCTTCAGAAATCATTATCATATGCTGATTTGCTGCTCAAGAAACATTTCTGATTATTATCAATATTGCTGCTTTATATTTTTGTTAAGACCGTGATGTTTTTCCCCCCCCCTCAGGATTCACAGATGAATCGAAAGTTCGAAAGAACAGCATTTATTTGAAATAGAAATCTTATGTAACATTATATGTCTTTACTGTCACTTTTGATCAATTTAATGCATCCTTGATGAATACAAATATTAATTTATTTAAATGTATATTATTACCTCCCTCAATTCACTTAAAAAAAGCTGCTAAACATAAATAAATTCATGTAAATAAATGCATATTAATACACTCTTTTTCTTGGCAATCATAGACAGACTTTACGGGTTATTGAAGTATATGCATCACTTTGAGGTATGTAAAATGATCATATTTTGCCCAGCAGCACCTACAATCACTGCAGAAGCTCATATTCACCTCATTTAAGGCCAAGTTCATATCACATTCAGGTCAAAGGGTTCCTTCCTGAATTTCCCCTTGAGGATCGATACAACTCAGCAAATCTATGCATTTAATCAGCGTGGCTTACATTGAGTTTGCTGTTGACGTGATTATGTAACAGCGGGACCTTTCCATGAGGTCAAGGAGGGATTACAATCAAAAACTCATTTCAACACGGATAAGTAATTTATACAAACCAGATTTGGCTATTTAAAGCTTGTCTTCATGTCATAATTTGTGTTCAGTGGCATTTCAATGTATATACAGTATGTACATCTCAACCAATAAGAAAGAAAAAAAAGTCATCATACATACAGTAACTTTATAGAGTTTGACTAGAGATCTCCATAATGCACTGCATAGAATCTCGCTCTGATCATTGTATAATTCATAAACCGTGTCCATGCACTTATAAGTTCAGGATCTAATGTGCATCAGTAAACAAACCCTTTCTGCAGTGAACGTGTCCTTGTGCACACGAAACCTTTCAGACATCATGCAGTATAATTGAGCCTCAGAAGCCGAAAGAGACGAATGCTCATAGGATGAAGCTGAAATGATACTTCCTCGGCTGTCTGACCCCAGACCAGAGGTGGCGTATTCATCAGGATAAGAATAAACCAGCGGCCTGATGTTTCTCATTTCCTGTGAAACTCTAACTCATTGGCTCTGATGAAATGCCACAGTCGTCTGCATTCTTCCCAAACAGCGTGATCACCGATCGCTCGGGGTTTTTTTGCAGCTCGAGGCTAATGATGGCAGAACATCTCCTGCGGTCTCTCGAATTGAGATGAATGCAAACCCCTGCGGCTTTATGAGAAAATTAATAACAGATTATGAATTTCTCACAACGGTTACATTTGTTCTGTCAAATCACATCCTTTAAACTTTAGCGTGCCACAGCAGGAATCTTTAATCTTTAAATATGTCGCAAAATATGATTATTTCTCAGAGGAGAGCTAACGAACCACAATTAGCAAATGAAAGATCATCAAAGAAAGATATACGCAAATAAAGTTGTTTTAATACAAGATGCCTGAATATGTAAATTCAACATGCATCTATTGCATATAAAAAAAAATAATACAATAGATCAGTATCATAACTATATCCACTTCAGTTATGCAATTGAAAGTTGATTTATCTTAAGATATTACAATTGTGATTTAATTTCTTATTTTTAGACTTCCTACAGTGTTCACAATTGTCCATAGGTGTACTTGCGTGATTGTGTAAAACAGTGTTGTTATTATTACACTGCGGCTTTATGAGAAAATTAATAACAGATTATGAATTTCTCACAACGGTTACATTTGTTCTGTCAAATCACATCCTTTAAACTTTAGCGTGCCACAGCAGGAATCTTTAATCTTTAAATATGTCGCAAAATATGATTATTTCTCAGAGGAGAGCTAACGAACCACAATTAGCAAATGAAACATCATCAAAGAAAGATATACGCAAATAAAGTTGTTTTAATACAAGATGCCTGAATATGTAAATTCAACATGCATCTATTGCATATAAAAAAAAATAATACAATAGATCAGTATCATAACTATATCCACTTCAGTTATGCAATTGAAAGTTGATTTATCTTAAGATATTACAATTGTGATTTAATTTCTTATTTTTATAGTGTTCACAATTGTCCATATGTGTACTTGCGTGATTGTGTAAAACAGTGTTGTTATTATTACAACAAAAAAAAACTATTAAATATAAGTTTTGGCAATTACAGTAAAGCTGAATTTACTGTACCATGTCCAGAAACTTTAACTAACTTTAAATGATTAATAATAACTTTATTTTTAGTCATGTAGTAGTGTATTTTTTTGTATGATTAAAATACCATTATAGTAATTTCTTTTCTATTTTTCTATTTTGTTTTTAGAATAGTTTTAGTCATTTTGTTGTGTATTTTGTCATTTTTATTATGTATATATTATTGTTATTATTATTATTTTCTGAATTGTATTTGTTTTAGTTATTTTAGTACATGAAGTTAAACTAAATAAATGTTGCTTTGGCAACTAGCTGCAACTTTATTTTATTTTATTTGAGTAATATCTACTACAATTTCAGAAGAGATCTAAGGACATGTGAATAATATCTGCAATCAAAAATCAGAGCCCTCAACATGAACATTTCTCTGATCTGAGCTGCAATCCACATTCATTTTCCAGCTCTACACTTTTTTCATGCATGCTAGCAGAAACATCTGAGCCAAAGTTGATACAGAAACATGCACGAGAGCTCCACTAACTCTCCAGAAGTATAAAAGAGCAGCTTTTCCTCTGGGAATTGCTATAATTAGACTACATTAACCCATATCACATATATACGCCCTTGAGTTAGCGCTATTGGCATCATCCCTTAAAAAAACAATTCCGGTCGACGCAATCAGCTCAATACTGCCAATTTCCAAAAGGCCTTCCCAGGCTGCTTCTGTGAAAGTTTGGTAAACCACACAATTTCTACAATCGATACAGTGAATGAGGCCAGAGCTGCGCGAGACGCCGTCTGAATGTCTTCACAGGCCTGCCAATCAATGCAGGTGAGAAGGGCACATCAACAGAGGCTGCGGGGAAATACCACGTATGCCACATGGAGCAAAGGTCAGCCCCTACGACGGCACATCCGAGCCCGGCGCACAAATCCATGCTATTTCAAACAAGAACCAGCTTTCTACAAATATTCAAAACAAAATGCATTATCCTCTTTTGCTAATCGAACTGCGGCACCATAAAGCCAGTCGATATCTCTCAGCGGGGGAGCGAAATACTGATTTAAAATCTATAGTGCAGAAAATGAGCTCTGAAAAATACAAAACAAGAAAGGCAAACCAAATGCACGCCACATCAGGACATTTAGCCTAAAAAAATAACATGCATTAAATGCATTATTCACAAATTTAAATTTAATTTCACTTTCTAAGTTATACAACGCATGCATTTTCACATTGCATTGAGTATGTTGCAGACTGTCTCTGTAGTCGTTTCTGTGGGTGGACGGCATTAAGCTGCTAAAGCTAGCACCTATAAGTCATATGAATCAAGACGAACCGTCACTCAAACTACATTTATGTGCCATCAACGGAAACACATTAAACATTCAGCAGAATTGAGCAGCTTTAGGAGGTGCAAACCACCGGTGAGCAATTAGCAGTGTTTCTAAATTCAACCAAGCTCTCGCTTTTGCATTTCTAAATCTCTAAAACAACATGAACTGACATTCACAACCCATTTTACTTCAGCAATGTGACATAAAACACCAGAATGGAGCCAGAACTCTGAGTTGGCTAAAGATTGTGATGCACTAAAATACAAATGTTTAGCAGGAAAAAAAAGTAAATTTACTAGACCAAAAACTAAAACTCTTTGTTTGGACCACCTATCAATACAATGATTACACTGAGTTCCTTCGAGAGATGTGATCCTACAGAAATATATATGCAGTCTCAAAACAAAACAACAATACAAAACAAATGTAAAAATTGTAATATGTCTAGTTGAATGTGCCAAAGATTTTATTATATATATATATATATATAAAAAATAATAATTTTAAGATAAAAAATACTGAAAACAACAAATATCAAATATAATTTAAAACATAAAAAAATTCAATATTTACTAAATACTCAAATAATGAGTATGGAAATGGAAGCAAATCACAAATTAAATAAATAAAAATGAATAAATACTAATAATAGATGTTATAATCAGGGGCGCCGTAACGGGGGAAAGGTTAGGACGTTTTCAAGGGCCCGGCGAGGGAGAGGAGGCCCAGAAACACCCCCCCATCTCCCCCCAGGAATGATATCATGGGGAGGCCTGAGTCAATGATGTTCAGGGCCTGAAAACGTATACGTATATTTGAAAAAAACAAATTGCTAAACGTTCTCTAAAATTAAAGTGAAAACATAAAATCTAATTTACAATATTAACAAAAATAAATATTTACTAAATACTAAAATAACATTTGAAACGGGTTTTATTCACAGGGAAAGCACTAACTGATCAAATGTATAACTTCTGATTTAAAAAAAAAAAGTGTCTGCCAAATGCATAAATGTTAAATGTTTATTAATCATTAAAAAAATAAAATAAAATAATGCACTCAGATGAAATGATTCATTCAGAATAAGACACTACTTGTGAAAGCAAGCAAAAGAACACATTTCCTGTTTATATAAAACTATGACTATAAAGCCAAAATATCTAGTCAAACAGTCTCTGAATACTGGGAATCATTTCTTACAGAAGCTCAAAAATCCATCGGGCAGCAATCCAAACGGAGAAATCGATATTTGAAAACCCGAGCCGGAAACAGAAAAGCGGCTCTTACCGATGAAGAGGTTCCACTCCGGGTCCAGATCCGCTTGGTTGGCCAGGCAGCCCCGCATGACGTTTTGGCAGTAGTTGGCGCAGGGTTTGAGGCCTGGCATTCCTCCACAGTACGGACAGTACAGCATTTTAGTCAATGCTTTACTGCAACCTGGAGATATATTGACCTGCAGGAGAAATACAAAAGGAAGGAAGTTAGTCCTGACTATACTGCATTGCATTCGAGAGCTGTTTTGCAAGCTGCTGGAAGAAATCGAGAAGCGAGTAGAAATATTTTCTAGCGGGACGCTGTACTATGCACTCATAATCTATGAAAGGACCTCTGCTGGGTATTAAAAGGGTCTGTGTGGTTCTTGCCACACTTAAAGTGGTTTTCAGAGTGAAGAACCGCATTGACAACAGGTCAAACGTGTCTTTTAAAGCACATTGGGGTGAGATATTCGCAAAAGCATTGCATGTGCTCAATGCACGTCCATTTTCAACGTCAATATGGGTGCAAGACACTCGTTGACGGACCTCGAGCGACTTGTAGCCGTCTCTGATAATTGCATGACATTCTCTATCTGTACACTTGACTCAGAGCTTGTACGCCAGACATCTTCTGTCCATCACGCGGAGGCGGCTCTCCGAAGGTCAAGGCTGTGCAGAAAGGAGGCAGGCGGTCAACTGGAAACACACGGCGGCCGTCGAGTTTCTCGCTGAGATCCAAAAGGACATGTGTTGATTGCTCTGAACAAACCTGACAGTGATGCTTTATAACTACGACTGCAGCATGTGACATGTCACACGTCAAGTCTCACACTCGTAGAGATTTTGACTATTACAAGAGGTCTATATGTGAAAATCTGAAAACCTAAAAAAAGGAATATACAACAAATGCAAGGTTATGTCTCTTAATTGTGACTTTAGGTCATACAGGTGATTTTATTTCATATTTTAAACTAATTACCTTCTCTGATGAAGAAAAAAAACAATTAAATTACTGAAAATTTTACAAATTTAATAATTTACATTACATAATTTAATAATTTACATAGATTAATTCTTCATTATATATATTTGAAATAATTTTAATACATTTTAGTTTCAGTTTACTGTTTTAGACACTTAAATATGTTAAGTGCTGTTACTATAAACCAAGGTAACACTTTATTTCGATAGTCCACTTTAGACATTGTATTAACAGTAAGTAACTTTGCAACTACATGTCAACTAGCAGTTAGTAGAGTATTAGTAGACTGTCCGCTCAATATCTTCTAACACTTTCTTTGTCAACTTATTCTACTAACCCTAAACCTACCCTAAGTCTACTCTGAGAGTTAGTAGACATGTAGTTGCAAATTAATGAGAATTAGTTGACATGTAGTTGACATGTAGTTACAAAGTTACTTATAGTTAGTAGAATGTCTAAAGTGGACTATCGAAATAAAGTGTAACCTAAACCAAAACTAAAACAAAATTATATTAAGCGTAAAAATTAAATAAATACAAATACAAATAAATAATTAATCTTGGATGAAAAATTTAAAATGTTGCCTAGGCAAGTAACTGAAATAAGTTTAAGTACTAAAATGACTAGCAGGAATGAATGAATGAATGAATGAACGAATGAAGCATACAATAAAATTACTAAAAGTTAAACAATCATGAAATGGAAACTTAAAAAATGAGAATTAAAATGAAGAGTTAATTCCAAATATTAATAAAGCACATTTAAGATCTTACAATTGTGACTTTATTTCTTATTTAAACGTAATCCCATAATTACCTCTTACCGTAATCCCATAATAACATTTTAAAACTGATAAAAATGAATTAAAATCAAAATCAAACTTAAAATGAAAAGCTCAATTCAAATATACTATACAAAAGTATTCATATAAATATTAAAATATTAAAATAACACTGAAAAACCCTGCAGACTGATATAATAATGACAATGACAATAATAATAATTCCAGAACTTTATTTCTTATTTAAACGTAATCCCATAATTACCTTGAACTCTGATACTGATTATTTATATAGTTACTTTCAATTAATAAAACATTTTAAAACTGATAAAAATGAATTAAAATCAAAATCAAACTTAAAATGAAAAGCTCAATTCAAATATACTATACAAAAGTATTCATATAAATATTAAAATATTAAAATAACACTGAAAAACCCTGCAGACTGATATAATAATGACAATGACAATAATAATAATTCCAGAATGTGCAGTATAAAAGACATTATTTTCTTAACTCAGAATTGGACTGCCAAGAGTTTGTACATTTTTAGTTTGTACACAAGACTAAAAATGTGAAATAACCATTTTATTTCCTGGATTAGTGAATGTAAAAAGGGTAGGCAGTATACAATATGCAGTTCACTAGCAATCTTACGCCTCCATTTATTCTTTTCAATAGATCAGCAGCGATTCTTTTCTTACTTTTAGCTAGTCTCTGCTTCGCCTTCTTCTAAGGTAGAGTACGGCAGTGAGTTTCAATGAACTTTGCTAACGTTTCAAACACATGTAAGCATACAATAAAATTACTAAAAGTTAAACAATCATGAAATGGAAACTTAAAAAATGAGAATTAAAATGAAGAGTTAATTCCAAATATTAATAAAGCACATTTAAGATCTTACAATTGTGACTTTATTTCTTATTTAAACGTAATCCCATAATTACCTTGAACTCTGATACTGATTATTTATATAGTTACTTTCAATTAATAAAACATTTTAAAACTGATAAAAATGAATTAAAATCAAAATCAAACTTAAAATGAAAAGCTCAATTCAAATATACTATACAAAAGTATTCATATAAATATTAAAATATTAAAATAACACTGAAAAACCCTGCAGACTGATATAATAATGACAATGACAATAATAATAATTCCAGAATGTGCAGTATAAAAGACATTATTTTCTTAACGCAGAATTGGACTGCCAAGAGTTTGTACATTTTTAGTTTGTACACAAGACTAAAAATGTGAAATAACCATTTTATTTCCTGGATTAGTGAATGTAAAAAGGGTAGGCAGTATACAATATGCAGTTCACTAGCAATCTTACGCCTCCATTTATTCTTTTCAATAGATCAGCAGCGATTCTTTTCTTACTTTTAGCTAGTCTCTGCTTCGCCTTCTTCTAAGGTAGAGTACGGCAGTGAGTTTCAATGAACTTTGCTAACGTTTCAAACACATGTATCCTGTCAAGCTCTACTTATTTACCCTTCACAATCTTTGCTTTACACGACTTCACCGTCGGCCCGTAATTGAAAGAACAAGCGGAGGATCAGTTGCGTGTCACACCTCCGGATTCGGAGATAAACTCTTGGCGTCTTCATCATTCTGCTCGTCTGTGATGATCCAGACACTCTTCCTCTCCCGCTGCAAAGCTACAAGTGTTTCTGGAGGACTGTGCAGGGAGAGGATCAAACGGAGCTGCTCTGACGCGGCCCGTTTTACACTCCCACATCAAATGCGGAGCGCAGGAGAGCTTTGAACGCAGTGTGTCTGCAATTACATCACAGCGAGACTCACTCGCACCGTGAGCTGACAGCGTTTTCATACGATTCCTAATCAGTCATTAGCTTCACGCAGTATACACAGAGACTGTCTAGTTGCACATGGGACTTTGAACAAGGGACACTGGCAGGATATTTCATGGATTCAGGATTATTTTCATGCTTTGATACTGTATCTCAAAGGTTAACAAGACAAACTCTGTTTAATGGAACCACACTGCTGACTTCTCTGCCACTGTAAAACTATGAACAGGCCAGTTTGTTTAATTTTTACATTATTTTTATTTAAGCAATTTTTCCTTCATTTTTAAGAGTGCAGAAAAGTGAAATTTGGGCTTGCTCTTTCAGATTTAAGTTTCCCTATCAAAACAAAACAATACACATGTTCTCTTCATATAATGGCAAAAAACTATTAATTAATTAATTAGTTTGTTTGTTTAATTATTCCTTTTTTTAATTTATTTTTAAGCATTTTTTTTCAGAAAAGTGAAATTTGGGCTTGTCCTTTCAGACTTATTTTCTCTTTTAAAATACAATATATACGGTTTTAAAATCAAGGGAAAAATAGGTGATTTTCTCTTCATATGACAGACAGACAGACAGACAGACAGACAGATAGACAGATAGATAGATAGATAGATAGATAGATAGATAGATAGATAGATAGATAGATAGATAGATAGATAGATAGATAGATAGATAGATAGATAGATTTTTAAATTATATTAAGCGTAAAAATTAAATAAATACAAATACAAATAAATAATTAATCTTGGATGAAAAATTTAAAATGTTGCCTAGGCAAGTAACTGAAATAAGTTTAAGTACTAAAATGACTAGCAGGAATGAATGAATGAATGAATGAATGAATGAATGAATGAATGAATGAATGAATGAATGAATGAATGAATGAATGAATGAATGAATGAATGAATGAATGAATGAATGAATGAATGAATGAAGCATACAATAAAATTACTAAAAGTTAAACAATCATGAAATGGAAACTTAAAAAATGAGAATTAAAATGAAGAGTTAATTCCAAATATTAATAAAGCACATTTAAGATCTTACAATTGTGACTTTATTTCTTATTTAAACGTAATCCCATAATTACCTTGAACTCTGATACTGATTATTTATATAGTTACTTTCAATTAATAAAACATTTTAAAACTGATAAAAATGAATTAAAATCAAAATCAAACTTAAAATGAAAAGCTCAATTCAAATATACTATACAAAAGTATTCATATAAATATTAAAATATTAAAATAACACTGAAAAACCCTGCAGACTGATATAATAATGACAATGACAATAATAATAATTCCAGAATGTGCAGTATAAAAGACATTATTTTCTTAACGCAGAATTGGACTGCCAAGAGTTTGTACATTTTTAGTTTGTACACAAGACTAAAAATGTGAAATAACCATTTTATTTCCTGGATTAGTGAATGTAAAAAGGGTAGGCAGTATACAATATGCAGTTCACTAGCAATCTTACGCCTCCATTTATTCTTTTCAATAGATCAGCAGCGCTTCTTTTCTTACTTTTAGCTAGTCTCTGCTTCGCCTTCTTCTAAGGTAGAGTACGGCAGTGAGTTTCAATGAACTTTGCTAACGTTTCAAACACATG